TAAAAGTTAATAAGTAAGTTCAAACTTCAAATACCTTATTTTATAATCCTTCTGGAAAAATAATATTCATATTTCTATTAATATATTTATTCATTTAAAATAACTTAAATTAAATAATAGTACAACTATATTCGTACACATCAAATAAAATTGCATGGAGGTACGTCATGTTAAAGTAAAAGCAAATAACCATTTTAGTATGGTCCAACTGAGTTTCCAACGAAAAATTAGAGTACGTAATAATACTGATTTGTAATAAATTACTTATGAGTTATGATATATTATATGCAATAACTATTGTTTTATGATACCCATTTAAAATCCAAATATATATACATATTATGGAATTGTACAAAGCACAAACAAAATCTTGATATTTTGAGCGTAGCTAGAAAATTTTTTTAGGAAGTATTTATACATTATTTGAAGTCGTCAATTTTATTAACCACGACCCCTCACAAATATTACATTCAGTGGCGTAGCCAGGATTATGAAATGGGGGGTGTTTAAACTTTAAGTATAGATTAAAACCAAGTTTATACAGTTTACGAATATAAATAAATGTTGACTTGTTGCACTAAAAATGATCGAAATATGCAGTCAAAATATGCTTAAATATATGCAGCTACATTTTTATATTACTTTTGAAAAATTCATAAAACATACTAAAATTTTGGTAGGTACTATAGGTTAATAAATAAGTAATAACCAATAACGCGAAATGCAAACACCTTAATAAACGAACACGTATCTACTGATTTTCATTTCTTCGTACAATCTAGAATCTAGATGTCAATTATAGTATTAACACAGTTTTGTCATAAAGAGACTTATATTATATAGACTTATGTTACGTACCATATGCGAAAATAGGGCCAACCTTAGCCTAGCTCCACCAACAACTTTAACAAGCAACAGCCCTCCAAAACATTAGGTACCTTAAATTTTTTAAGCTTTTTAAATTTTATAATAGTATGGTCTTAGGCTACGGCCTCCCAAATCTCAAAATTAGGGCCTAATTGTACCTAACCAAACATAATATTTTTAAAGATATTTTTCAATGTTATCCAAATATGATATTTCCCAACAATTGTATGTACATTTAAGTTAAAAAAATGCAAAATATGCGAAAAATAGCTCAAATGTACACTTTTCCAGTTTCCTAAAATATGCAAATTTTGTTTGATAAGACATAAAAAATTTCATAAGACAAATTTATAACTTATCCAAAATAATCCACGACCACTACAGTAAAACATGCAAGCAGTCCCGAACAATATAAACAATATATTTATTAGCGGGGAAAATTTCAATGGGGGGTGTTTAAACACCCAAAACCCCCCCTTGACTACGCCACATTCACCCTAAGGGCCAGTTGTACCGTCTACGATTAACTATGATTAGCTTAATCAGCTGATAACAGATATTTAAACGGGCAAATTCTGCCGATTAAACTCTGATTACCATAATCAAGACTGTACAACTGGCCCTAAGTCAACAAGGAATTTAAGACAATGTTAAGATTATTATTTAAAATGACAAAAAAAAAATTTATTTGTTGGTTGCACCATTACGTTAGTCTATTACATTGAAATTACTCAACAAGCTTAAAAGAAATTAAAAATATAATAATTGTTCTTCATAAGGAAAATAATTAATCCAAAAAGAAATAAGCTATTGTTTTTTCGACTCTGTCCATTAACGGCAGCTGACATTTGATTTCCCTAAAAAAAATTATTTATATCATATTACTATCGTTATCAATGTAGGTACTTACCACGGACTAAGATAGAATATCTATCTTAGTCCGTGGTACTTACACAAAAATTAAATTAATTAGGCATATGTTGATATGTTACCTAACTTACGACCAATGTTTGATAAGTTACTTATAAGGTTTAACGAAACGCACTTAAAACTTATTTAGCAATAAATTGGAACAGTAGAAGAAAAGTTGCAAATGCCAGGACAAGCTATTTTTGGTCCAGATGAAAAATTATTTTTTTAAACTTACTATTATTAGGAAAGAGTTCTTATTGTCTTATTCTGTGGTTCTACATTACAATAAGAGTTAAATTTAAGAAAGAGCCTGACAGTGATAATCTGGTCCCGGATCATAAATACGATGCTAGTTGGTTTATAGCACCTTGGGCTATTCCACCGCTGGCAAAAACATATGTGCTCTAGTAATGAGGTTATTAATATGTAGGTAATGATGAATTATAGGTAAGTACTATACCTACCAGGGAGAACTTATGTAGAGAACATTTGAACATGTCTTGATAGTGGAGATGTTAATCGATTTCAAAAGATATGATGGACAATAACTATCGTATTATGTAATATTTATTATTTATTTGTATCAATTATGTTACCTACACTTATCTCAAATTTACATATTATTATATCCATTTTGCTGAATATGCGTTTGACGTAGGTATTTAGATTAATTAGGAACCTTAACAAAGATATATAAGTTTAACATGAATATATAATATCAAGACTGTTGTCTACCAGCTACATGTAAAATATATAGTTTATTAATGATTAGTAAAATTGCTGAAATTTGTAGTATATTACATTTTGTTCCAAGATATTGATGGCAACAACAAGTCAATAGTCGATCGAATACTCCACAGTCCCGAACGGTAGGTTCACAATTTCTAGATCTTACATAGCAAGTATGTGCAATGTAAGGGAATACTTCTATAACCCAAATATTTTAGCACCATTTAATAATATATCATATTATATTAAAAATAAATTTATATATCATATTAACATAACATACCATGGTATTTCCTTTGGCAACAACAATGATCTTCAATGACATCATTGGACAAACAATATTCAATTTCTCTTATGGTACATTCTCTGCAACCGACTCCTATCACTAATGACATAATTATTTATATTACAATCATACAATGTGATTTATGATAATATATTTTACTCAATTCTGGTACAATATGTTGAATTGCATTTTCAGCACTTTCTAGCAGGGACTGGAACCGTACCGAAATTGACCGGTTAAAGACCGAAACCTTTTGAAAAACTTGGGACCGAAACCGGACCGGAACCCTTAAATACATTTTTTTAGTAACCGAAACCGAAACCGAAACCTTTATTTTGATGTAGAGGTTTTTTTCGGTTATTTTCGGTTCTAAAATCCAATAGATATTTTATAGTGTGAACATAAATATACACTTATTGTTATTTGTTATTACACATTGATCAAGATACTCCTCTATCTATATTAAAATAAACTAATACTATTTTTAAAAACAATTATTATAGTACCAACGAAAAAATATATATTAATAGCTAAATCTTAATTACACTCAATTATAAATAGACCAATCATTAATAGAAGTCTTATATTTTTTTTTACCAATTATTGATAAAATAAAATAAAAGCAAAAATCAATAATAAGGAAAACGGTACTTAACCGAACTGAAACCGAAACCGAATTTTGATATTTTGAAACCGAACCAGAACCGAAACGAATTTTGGATTTTTGAGAACCGAAACCGAAACCGAAACCCATAAAATCATAAAGGTTCCAGTCCCTGCTTTCTAGAGTGACACTGTGTTCAATGGGTAAATGATCATTTGATGAGTTTGTATTACCATCAGGAACACTTACCAATAGTAAACTCAACAACAAATACATTGTATGTGACAACTATTTGTAAATAAGCAATTCTATTGATCATAATACTAAAAAAAAAAAAAAAAATGTAGTGTCATGGTACATTTAGGAGATTTTCACTTTTTATTATTGATTTGTCACGCAGTGATAATTGAAAAACGAACATACCATAGTTTGAAAATACTTAAAATAAAAAAAGAAAACAATTTCTTTATAATATCTTTCTTTATTTACATCAAAATACATAAATTATTTATTAAATATAAAAATACATGTAAAAAGTCAATATTCAAATATAAAAAAAATTTAACAATGGACGGCATTAGTTGCAACTTAAAATTAATTTGAAGTATAAAATCAGTTAAAATCAATTTTAATATAATACTTAAGTCATAACATTTTTCTAGTTTATTAAAACTTTTATAAATTAATGAAAGGTTAGCTATCTAGCTAGATATATTTATTTAATCAAAGGATATTGTTTATAATAATATCATTACATTAATATATTTTCAGTGTTTCATCTTTTTTTTATTTTTATATACTTAAAAGAAAAATCCTGATCAAATTATGAGATTCATTAAGTGTTTAGTTGGAAAAAAAATGTTTTGTCACACTAGGCAATTTATAATATTAATAATATTAAATAATACAACAATTATATTATTACTTATGAGATGTAAGTAAGAATTTGTTCAAATAAGGAATTTTCAATGATTTTCAATGATATTATAATAATTGTTAAAATTTAGCAAATTTATGCAAGTTTTGCTTATAAAGTATTAGTATAATTAGTGAATTAATTACTATAATCATCAAGGCCGCCAGCTTTAGGTGTTTCGCCACCTGATGCAATATAACAATAATATGTCCGTATCTATTCTATGGTAAAATTATCGTCTTATTATCCCCTTAAAATTGCATAAACACACTGCCCTGATAATTATAATATCATTCAATTATAAGCTGTGAAATATAATTGAGGTATGCCCTTCTAATTAGTTGTACTACACATTATAGTACATTATTAGGAGAACATTTAGAAATAATAGTATTTAGGTTTCGTCTATCATTGTGTAGCTACGGATTTATTCCTAGCATAAGGCTATACAGTAGGTAGCAATATGGAAATGTGAATCTCTTAAAATGTTAGTCTAAAATATTAATATATTTTTTTTTTAAAACAGTTTTATTATGTAAGCTGATGTAAACATATTTTAGCCAGTCTTGGAATATCTAATTCATTTTTTTAAAAATATTTATTTAAGTTTATTAAATTTAGGTTTTTAAAGTGCATTAAATTAATACTTAACTTTAAACTAAAACATATCTAATAATAAAGTTGTATTATGTAATTAAATTGTTGTAAATATTAATTACAATAATAGTAGCAATAGCGATATATTTTATCGGAATAGACAATTGAACAGCGTTATTGAAAATTGGGCAATAGGGACATTGACTACTACCGCATACTTCACAAATATTCAACAAATATGTTGGTAAAGCGTCAAATATTGTTTCGTTGAATCGTTCTAAAAAAAAAAAAAATGTATATATTTATTTAAATTTAAATCAGTAAAATGTATTGAAACAAATTTAAATGATATATACAAGGTGATTCTTTTATCATGAAACATTCATTATTTCAAAAACTATTAATATTTTTGAAAATATTTTTTTATATAGTTTCAAGTTGTTAAAAAAACAAAGTTTTTATCAAAAAATCATATTTTAAAATATTTTTTATCCTTATATTTTTTTAGGTTTTTACTTTTTTGAATGACAAATGACAATCGAATTTAGGACAAGTAGTTTATGAGTTATAAGTATTTAAAGTTTAGACAAGCGGAGTAGTGGACAAACATTTTGGTTGTTCACGGCAGGACCGATTGGGCCCAAATTTTTTTTAAGATGTTTGTAATTGCGAGGAGATAATTTATACAAAAGAAAATTTTAGGAAAATCAACCGGAAAAGTAGGAAATCTGGATGAAAAAAATACAAAAGTGGCGCAACAGTGTATTATAATTTATATTGGTTGCTATTGGTTAATCGGGCATGTTTGTTGATTTATATTATTGTTTTTTGTCAATTTATATATATATAAATAAATGAAAGATTGTGTGTAGATTAGACCTTTGGGAAGAAGACAGGCTAATTTAAAAATGGTTAAATTTGGTTTTTTTTTATTCATCTGATATTAATAAGGTTAGGATTTTGTATTAACTGATTATATTAATCATACAACAAACTTGGTATAGCTTTGACACTTTAAAGTTAAATCATACACTTACGTACATACATCAAGGGGTCCTCGATCTAAGATTGCCTACCCGATAATATACTGCTGCGAATCAGAATTATTATTATTATTCCGGGCAACGGAAAAGTTAAGATAAATTTTGAACATCATACACTGAATATTAAATAACAAATTGAACAAAGTTTGAGTCATATAAATTTGGTACATTTAACGGGTAACAAAGCACACGGGATCAGCTAGTTTTTAAATAAAAACGTTTTTTTAACAACTTGAAAATATGTAAAAAAATATTTTCAAAAACATTAATGCTTTTTGAAATAATGAGTGTTTTATGATAAAAGAATCAATCTGTATAATAAATAAAAACATACCAGGAGCATAATAATCATATACTCGAACAGGAAGATAACGTGACATATTTGCAACAGGATACCATCTTTCAACAGTAAATTTAACACAAGTTTCTGACTCGTCCAACTATTAATACATAGAAAAATTAATTAATTTTTAAACTGCATACATATAAGAATATAAAATTATAATATTACATAATCAAAGTAAAACAACAGCTTTCCGGGGAAAAATCGAGCTCTTTGTAAATTTGGAACAGTTCTTTGCAATACATAAGCGTCTAAATTTTGTTGTTGCACTATATATCCGGTTGGAATAGCAACATCCAAAACAGCCAGACCAGATCTGGGAGACTCATCGATGTAAGTCCATCTAAATTATAAATCATTTAGTAACTGAAGTCAAACTACTGTGTCTTTATTATTAATACTTTTGACAGCTACGATATGTAATATGAGATTGATTGCGACCATGAAAATCTGCACGTGTTATTATTCCAAAGGCTTGTTCAGGTGGTGTTGTTTGGAATTTCGCCACATCAACATTATACTGGACGGACATTTGTAAAATTGCATAACCTGAACCTTTAGCTTGCACTTTGACAGTTCCCCAAGCTTGTGGAATCTAAAATAAAAGTAAAAAATTTTAATTTAACACCACAGGGAAACATTAAGCTCTCATAACCTCTATTTTTTGTAATTGAGCAATATTTTCACTGTTAACTTTCAATATTTTTGTTTTTCCTGAAAGAGCTGTAGCTTCAACCGTAACAGTCAATGTAAATACATCTCGAAGTCTGTTTCTATTTGTATATTCAATTAGAGCTTTCATGGCAATAGCCGTATCTTGTGTGGAGGCCCAACCACCATCAGTAAGTCTTTGAGAATTCAACCACTTAACAACATCATCAATATAAGGTTCTTTTCTTGCAACATAAACAAGTAAAGCGTATGCTGTTGTTTCTATATTAATCGAGTCAAATTTATAAGGCAGACGTGGTAATAAAAATGGTTTCTGATTTTCCATTTTTGTTGGCGGTGATGGTACAAATTCTTTACCCCAATACATCAATCCACCTACAATAATATTTAAGTAAAATTCTCTAAAATACCATATATAAATAAAAAAAACACAAAACATACCCTCTCTCCTAGCATGTTTAGATAATAGAGTGAATGCATATTCAGCAAATGATGACTTGGTCAACATTAATGCATAAGTAACGAGTGCAATTTCATACGGTTCACCGGTCATATTTAATAAATTCATATTTTTTTCTAAATACTTTACAGCACGACTTTCACCTTGAGCCAATTTAGAACCAAGACCCTATCATAAAATACAATTATACATATGAATTAAATTATACAGAAATATAAATTAGATATTAACCAACCCCTGACAGATCTTTTGCAGTTGTTAGTGTTATGAGAACTTGTGCAGTTAATGATATATTTGTAAATCTCTGTTGCCTATTTGTTCCAAACAAAATTGATCTGTGCATTGTACTATTAACTTTACGGTCAGGAAACCATGTCACATCATAAAATGAACCTTCTTCAGTTTGATGTTTCAGCACCCACATTAAAGCTTTTGAAATTACCTATTTGTTTTATAATTTAATTTTAATCTATTAATATTTAAAATATCATTTTATTAAGAAATATGTATTAATTACCTGTGGATCAATAAATATGAAATTTTCCCACTCATAAAAGTTTGCTTCCTGGAATACTCTAGCACAATATGAAGTCAACCATACACTTGGATAAGACATATTCCTAAAATTTTAACTTTAATATTAGAGGAAAAAAAAATATTTACAAGAGAAAAATAGTACCAATCACTCCTGAAAAGACTAAATGAACCATCTTTGTTCATAAACGATAACATACGCTGATATCCAATATTTAAATGGTAGAATGATTGCTTCTCCAGTGTTCTATCTCGTTGATTTGAAAATCTCATATATATTGTTGTATATAAATTAGCTGCAAAACTAAACATTGTTTGTTCAGCAGCATCCTGATAATTAAAAATTAAAATTAAACAATCTAACCAATAGTACTGATTACTAATATAATGGTAAATATTACCATGGGTAAATTAAGCAAAGATGTTGCATTAACAGGCATTGTAGGGAAAATTGGTCCAACGACATCTCCAACTAATGAAAGATGAGCTTTGTTTGACCCATATACATAGTAACGATCTATACTGTATGGAATAATTGGGGTTTCAGTTACATTTACATGCAAATATTGGAAAACATAAGCTCTGTTACTAAGATCCAAGATCATTGACTGATGTCTATACTGAGGTACTCCGTCGGACTACAAAAATGATAGAATTGTATTTTTAGATACAAAAATAAATGATTAATATTAACACTTAAAAAATGAACATACGTCAACATGTAAATTTCTAGTCACTCGATCACTAGCTATTAGTGAAGTAGCCTCAATATTTATGGTAATATCACCAAGTTTTGTAGGTACTACAGGTAGGTAAACAGTTTCTGCATCTTGTGCTTTAATATACACAAAAATTTGTTGATTGCCGTGAGATGTTCTAGGATTGTATGAGTTTACCTTGGAACAAAAAATTAAGTTACAAAATAAGCATACAATAGTAGACTATATTTCATACTATTCCATCTTCTTCAACATGAACAAATTTATACGATTCTGAACCCAATAAAGTAACTACAGCTTCAACACTATTGCACTGGTTGTTAAAAACAGTGACACGAATTCCAATTTGTTCACCTTCTTTACAATGTGTAGGCATTTCAACATTCATAAAAAATGGTAATACTCCAACATACTGAAAAATGGATTATTTTTAAATAATAATATTTGTATTCTATTGTAAAACATTTACTCACTTCAATGGGCTTTTTAATCATGCCAAACCCTTTTGTAGGACTTAAACTGAATGCAGTTATCATCCAATTTGCAGGTCGATAAGGAACATCTAAATCAAATATGAATCGTCCATGAGGTCCAATATTAATATCTCGCCACATCCATACATTATCATAATGTCTTTGTAAATGATTGTAACGAAATTTTCGAAAATTATTGAATTCTGTACGATTGTACAATGGACCTAATACATATGGGAAATAAAAAGTTACATTAAATTATATTAATATTAATAATTATATACAAAAACTAAATATAATATTTTTACCTAAATTGTATAGGTTAAAAAGTATAAAATGCAAAAAAAAACAGGTACTCTATAATTTAAAATTACCTTAGGGATGTATATTGGACTTCTAAATAAAATAAAGTGTTTTATGAAAATAAATTAAGAGACGTTTATAAAATAATAGTAAGAATTTTAATTTTTAAAAAAAGGAATATAGGAAGTTAGAAATAGTAAAACAAAAATGATTAGAGTATCCGAGATCTGAGTATTATAAGGACTATAGAATAATTGCAGTTTAATGACAATGATAATTTATCAACTAGATGTTAAACAACAAAAAACCAGAAAAATTTGAACTTTTAGATATTTTTTTTTATTATTATTAATTTATTATGTTTTTATATTGGATATGATGAAACAATCAGGTTTTGACTATCATAATTTACTATTAAAGTTACAACAAAATAACTAGAAAACAATTTATTTTTCCTCAGTAAAAATATTTTTTTTTTAATTAGTATGTTTTTAAATTTTGTTGTTGCATAATAACTCAAACAAGAAGCCTTCCTGGGGTGGGAGATATTCCTCTACTCCTAGTTTTGAGTTAATGCAAATTTTTAACTTGCACAAAATATGTTATAAAACTTAAGTATAATGGTCAACATTTGATTGTTCTGCCAAATTTGGCATTAAAAAAACATAATTATTAAAATTAAAACATAAAACCAAATGAGTAAACAATTTTATGAATCGAAAAATGTAAGGTTTTTTTTTTTGGTTTAACATAGATGTTTGAAAAAAAAAATTGAAAGTCTGGCCTTACACTGCATTTATACTAGATCATATATTATAGTTATATATCATTATATTATAGTTATTTTAAATATTTAAATATTATAAATTTACATAGAGCTTCATCTGTGCCATCATCGCAATCAATATGTCCATCGCATTTTCTATTAGCCAAGTAACATCGTCCACTAAGACATTCAGCATATCCTAGAGTTATGTTACATAAAGTCATTCGTCGTGGTAGAATAACATCAGTAAATACAACTACACCAGCAAATCTAATAAAACAGTATTATAAATAGAATTGATTTTCAATGAAACATTTTTATAACAATATAAAATTAATAAATCTAATAAGCTATACCTACAGATATATACTATTATGGACTATAGTATATATCTGTGGTTATACCACTAATTAAATAAAACCATAGATTGGTAATGCCTATGTAACCATTTATCGATCATTATCTTAATTTGGATTTGACTCACTAGTCATTAGTGGTGTATGGTGACAGGAGAAAGATAGATACTTGTTTCCCGCTATCTCATGCCATTTACGCCACTAGTAAGACAAATCCAAATTGAAATAATGAGCAATAAATGATTTCATTGGAATCGCATATCTATAGTGCTATTTAATCTATGGTTATGCATGGATTATTTTTTTTTTTTGATAGTTTACTAACTCAAATGTTCGGTTAGCATCTATTCCGAAAGTAGATGATGGAAAATAAACTATTTCATCAGGAGAACCTTCATGAGAAAGCCATGTGTGCATAATTGTACCATTTGTATCCTCATCAAACCTTTCCATTTTAGTCAAAATCTAAGTTACAATAAATAAGTTAATTCAAAAATTCACTTTGAAAACATATCACAAACTTTACTTTTGCATATGTTAATTCATTTCCTGCTTGTAGTCCATAGAATGGATAATCCAAACTAGATAATCCAACATAAGCTCCTGGTTCACCATATATTGCTACTTCAACCTTTTTTCCACTTCTGCTTTTATGATCATTAATAAAAACAGTGAACTGTAATGTAAAAACTTTTAGTAGTACACAAAAAACCTTTGATTAGTATTTTTAAATGTATACAATATTATATTAATAAACTACTAATTTTTTATTATGTAATATATATATACACTTTTAAGATCATATTAAGATATTTAATGCACATAAAAAGGCAGGTATATAAACATCTAGACACCTTCCCAGAAAATGTATGGCTGTAGTAATTTTGTGCAAGCAAACAAAAACACAATACCATAATAAATTTTAGGAGCTACTGGCCTAACTTCAATAAAAGTTATAATTACAAATTGACGGTCACACAATGTTATAGCAGTCATGCTTTTTTAAGTAATAGGATTTGCCATAGCATTGGCCAATTTAAAGTGACGCTAAATTTACAGAATTTAATGCAATGCCATAGCAGTCGTGACCATCAACGTGTTAATAGCTTGAGCCTATTTTTCAACCCCTATATAGGGTTCAGACCTTAATTTAATTTTGGCTCATGAAATGCATATATTTTTTTGTTTATATAAATAACTATTTATATAAACATGGCACGGATTACAGTATATATTACTATTATTATTAATAGAAATATTCAAATTCAGCATATTTTTCAACTTTGTTCAAATAATATACAACACATTTCACATAAAAAGCGTTTAGATGTTTACACATATAAAAAAAAATTGGGTGTGAATACTGGTTCACAACTTATTAGTTATTTTATTTATATTTTTGTTACAACTTACATTATTTCTTGATATTCCATTAACAGGGAAAGTTAAACTATCCGCAACTACATCTCCAAATTTACCAACATGATACACAAGAATAGTAGCAGCTGGTGCCATTTCAGCTGATAAAGTAACAGCAAATGTTCGGATTGTGGAAGCGTGAGTAACTTCTTGTCCAGTTAATAATATCAAACCTTTTGATAGCATGATATAATCAAATGATTCCAAATAGTAATTGCTTTGTACATGGAACACTATAAACTGCCCAACCTATAAATGAATAAAAAATATTATATGAAATAAAATAAAAAAACAGTAAGAATAATGAAACTGATAAAAATATTTCTTTCACTTCCATCAAAAAATTATTGTATTTAATTTAATTTTAATGTTATGCTCAGGGATTCATTCTATAGAATTTACTCAATTTTTTGAAGTATAAAAATATATGTTTAGTACAATTTAAGCATTTAAGATTTTCAGTGCTACATTTATAGTTTTGGTGCTACTTTTGCTGATTTGCATTTGTTTTATGTTTATCATAATTTTTTGGGGTTGAAGAGGTTCTTCAAGTAGTCAATTCACTCTGTACAGGTGAAGTTAAGATAGGTTAGAGGGAGTTAACCACTATCATGTAATTTCTAGAAGAACATTAAAAAAATAAATTATTTATTGTGTTTTCCCCTTTTATTAAAAATTTAAATCATTTATACAGCGCAAAAAAGTGATGATTAAAAAAACTTAAAAATACATTATTGGTAACCAAACTACCGTTATGCACAGAGCTAAAAAAAAAATGTATAGTAAAGATTATAAATATTAAATTATAATAATACCTTGGCGTCTTTAGTTGAAGTCCAAACTTTAAGGTGATGTTGGCTAGGTGAATAATGAGTAAGTAAAAGTAATTCTGCAGTTGATCTTTCACCATACATGTCTTTAAATGATCCATATATTTTCATTGATTCAATATCTTTTAATACTTCTGAAGCACGTTTATCATTTTCAAGACCTAAATAATGATTTTATTTTAGATATTTATAATACATTTTCATTTACACAAAACTGACCTAATTCTGTACGTAAATATAATTTCATTTCAAATACTCCTTCATGATCTGTTGACATTTTTAGTGCTCTAGTATCAATAGTTCTTCGTCCGCCAGATTTCATTACAACTTCAGCAGACATATCTAAACGACCAAGCAACAACCTGTATCTATCTAATGGCGATCCATCATGATGAGAAACTGTAATCTAATTAATTATATTTATAACATGTTATTAAAAATAAATTACAGTACTCGTGTATTATGCTACCTACCAAAAAACTGCATGCATACAGTATGCTACCTACCAGATAATATCACATACCTACTGTAATATAATTTTTTTTTTTACTAAAAAATGGCATCAACTGCAAGGTTATTAGCCTGCGTTACATGGCCATTTAAATATAAAATAAAAATTCAAATGCATATTATAAGATTTTTAATATTTAAGAATCCAAACTTTATATTGAAATTATGATACTTGTATAATCTTAAACACATACAACCACACATTTATATGTAAACTAAATTTAAAAATAAAATTTTTTAGGTTGGTAAATTGTTGTGTGAAGCGGCAAACTTTTACATGTTTAAGATAGGTAGTTATGATGAGCCGGGCCCAATGACGTCACGCATCTTTTTTCAATTGTTCTTAACTTATTGACTAACGTGAGCAGAAAAGTAAAACCTATACTATTATTCTTAGAATTGAAAATTCTTTCAAATTAAAAAAAACTTATTTTTTGTGTTTTGGGCTCATTTAAATGTCTGTGTTATTTGAAGGGAAATTGTATTTGTTCGATACGAAGAATTTTGAATTATCAAGGTTTGAGTTACGGAGAGTCGACTGTATAACATATTAAAATAATTGTAAATTATGATCATTAGCAATACATTAGTTAAATTGTTATTAATCAGTAGCTAGGTATGTAAAAATAGTGAACACCTGTAAACTTTTTTGGTGAGTAGGTAGCATATTACACCAACAAAATAAAGATAGGTATCATACTACACGAGTACCTAAATTACAATAATGATAAATATGTAAGTAAAAATTATATTAATTATTATACTTACATAAATCGAAAATGGCATGGCAGGTTTAAAAACTTGTGGCGAACCACCCAAAAATGCAACTCTAACCGAAGAATTAAAAAATCTTGCAGTTGAATAACCTTCTATAATTTCATTTAAGTATCTTTCTCCAACTGTGGCTGTTATAGTTACCTCAGTCTCTTCTAAGGTAGAAACTAATTGTTGCAACTCACTTAAAGGATATCTGAACTTATAAACACCATAAAACTGAAAATAAAAATATTTAAATAATCTTTTAACTGAAAAATGTTATGTTAATAAAAAAATTATGAACATTGAAGTTTATAAAATTTATCTAATTTTACTAAATTTATCTAATTTTACTACACAAATGTGGAAATTAAAAACCACAAACCCATTGTAAATGTGGTATTTGATTTATTCTTGAATATTCAGATTGTTTAGGATACCAAGAAGGATGTGCTTCGTCCTAAATAAAACATATAAGTAATTATAAATATATTAGTATTCGACTAACCCTTATAGAGTTAATTTAACTTACAAAACTCAAATATTTTTCAATTACAGGACCATCATAATTTTTAAACCCATTTTTGAGTGGTCGTATGGTTGCTTTTAAAGTTAGATTTCCTCTAACAGGTCCACCACTAGTGTAATTTGCCATTACATAGCCACTCAAATATTTATCCGAATCAAGAAAATAAGCAGCCATTGTAACATTGACCTAATTAATCATGTAATAAATTAATAATTAAATAATTAAGTATTAATAAATAAAACAAATGAAATATACCTCAAAACGAGTTTGATAATATTCTTCTACTAAAAATGTAGCTTCTTCAATCTGCCCCTGAGCTACTACCTGAATGGTCCATTCTCCAAATACAGGCTGATCAGACATTTCATAATTTAAACTTACACATCCAAAATTAGACTGTAAAAATATGTTGTTTTATAATAGAAAAATGTATGTAGTTACTATCATTTATATAAATAAATATATACTTGTCTTGAAAGCCAACGCCTCATAATATAGCGATTTGGATCTAAGATGTATACATCAACAGGATTGTCAAAAGCTTTTAATTCTGTATTAATTGGAATTGCTCGGAAATAAACTAAAATGAGTAATATTTATTTTTATTTACACCATCTTCATCTAAAATGTTTGGTATTCATTCAAAATATACATACCAATATCAGATTGTTTATATATTGGTTTATCAGTTTGAATAAATATTGTCATAGATCGTTGTGAAAAATTTAGTCGAGTTTCATTATTAAATGCATATCCACCAATGATGCCATCGTATAAGCCCTCTACTCTTAGTTTATAATCACCAGTAACGCTTGTAGCTGGAACCTAAATTTAGCAACACATATGTAGCAGATCGTATTTTATTTCTACATTTAAGAAACTAATCTAATATTGATTCTAACCAATAATAATAATGTTTCTTGAATTCCTTCTTTGATTACACTTAAATCAGAAGCTAATTCAACTCCATTTCTTTGAATTGAAGCTCTAACAGAAATTGGTTGTTTGGCTTTATAAACAGTGACTGATACTTTGAACACTTGACCTGGTCTAACCATTCGACTTGCAACCACAAAATAATTTCTAAAAAGATCAAAAATAAAATGAATACAATAATTTTCCATTTCTCCATCATAAACACTAAACAATAAAAATTGCTTACGCATCAGGGATAATTATGTTATTATCATAATTATTTTTCCAATCATATAAATTATTGAATGATTTATCATTTTGTGATTTTGTTGTACGCGAGTAATCATTTTCTTGAGAAACTTTGTACGATGGTAGTGGATAGTCTTGTCCCAAACAAAGTTTCAAAATTAAAATAAGTATCATATAAATAGACATCATTTTGGAAAATCTGAAAATGTAATACAACACATTGGACTGTTAATTTTAATAATATTATGCCTATATGCCTAATTACTACTTTGGTAACAGCTCATATTGAAATATATACTACAATAAATAATTAATGAAGGAGCAATCAAAGCAACTCGGTCGCTGTTTATAAGAATCACACTGTTATTGATATAAATAAATGTTTAAATATATAGTTGGTCCCAATAAAGATTTTAAAACTAATTTATTATATTAGTAAAATGGTATCCTATTAGGTAGGTACGTGTAAGACACTAAGAGGAAATTTAAATAAATATGTTATCAAATAAAAAGTAATCAACATGTAGTCGGTAAGTTGAAAATATTCATCTAAAACATTTATATTAACAAATATATTTATCATTATCAGTTAAAATTAACTTATAAATAACAGTCCTGTAGCTAAGGCACGAGTTGCTTTAAGGCGGCACACAATTTTAAAGACGGCAAAATTAAATAAATAACGGTAAAGAATAGCGGCATTTAAATGTTTGCTTTAAGACGGAAAATATCTAATGACGTGCCTGATAAGTAAGGTACAATGAAAACAAATAATTACATTTATAAATATGTGTAAAATGAAACTATAGGGTTATACCTAGTATTTTTCAATATGTACAGCACGAAAGATTGTATAGGTATTCATATACAAAATAATAAGATGTTAAATGTATTTCTATGATCCCATACAATATAAATCATGAATTCAGAGCATCAAGAACGAAAATTCAAACAATATATAACTATCTTACAAAGTTACAACTATAATCGTTCGTTTCTATTTATTACAATCGAACTACCTACAAAAGGTTTACGCCCTAACATGATAAATACCTTAGATTTAAATTCCATTAACGAATTATCATACACTGCATAGTTTTACTGTGCATAAAAAGCAACACTTATCGATTGACCTGTAAATATCAAAACTAAATAACAATAATACACCAAATCGTATACTATAATAACTTGAAATAAAGAAATATAAAATTATTAATTAAACAACAATAAACACACGAGACGGAAATTGCAATTGTTTTATTTACTAACAAAAATTTAACGTAACCTGTTGTTCGGTTACCGTCCAGTGTCCGGTGAAGCTACGATGGGCAAAGGTGGTTAGCCCCGCCCTGGAGATTAGTAATTGAATATTTTGATATTTTGATAACAAAATAAAATAAAATACTCGCGCAGCGATCTCTAGTGAATTATTTCTAATAGACGTTCATATTTGAATCCATAATTAATAATACCAACTGACTGCGTTACTTATTCAGTACCTACCTACAGGCGGCTACGGCAGTGGCGTATTTAGGAATTTTGTTTTTTTTTTTTTTTGGGGGGGGGGGGGGGGGTGACAATAATAGTAATAGGTACACCGTACACCCATATAAATACGTATATAATATACATTTTTAAAATCCCCTAACTTGATGAGTTTAGTGTGGATCAAGGTGAAATAAGAATTAACACAAATTGTATAGTAGGTACCTAATAGCATATTTTATAAATTCATACTAAAGCCAATCTCTTAAGATCCCAATACGATAAACAAAAAAAATAGTTATAACTTATAATACAAAAACCGTTCTCTATTTTTTTGGATGCTATAAATTCATCGATAACCTCATCTGGCAGAGTTATTGTATTGATCGATGACATACCAACACATTAAAGGCCCGTATTACAATAGTTAAACACTTAAACTAATGTTAAACCACGGAATTCGACCGGTAATATCAGTGGGTTAAGCGAAACCGAGGTTTAAACTATGATTGAAAAACGGGCTTTAGGTCGGTTCTAATAAACAAAGTATATATTGTATAATAACTATTTCTTAATTTATAGTTATTATTCAATATAAGATAGGAAAATTGATGAAATATTTACTTCTGTCATACTATTTATTAGGTAAGACTTAATACTATAAGGGATGTATTTAAGGGGGGGGCAACGGGGACAATTTTTGAGACATTTAGGGAGGCGGCTAGGGGCCGGTGTATATTATATAAATAACATTTTTTTTTTTTTTTGTAAGAATTTGTTTGAGTAAATCCATACTTGGACTTTTTGCATTGCTGACTACGATACGGACATTTGGCGTCATTGACTCATTTTGTCAATCAATGATAACTACTACCTATTAATTTTTGTAATTTTTTTTTTATAGATTACAATTATATATTTTTATAAATTTTAATAATAATTAAAATAATGTATCATCGTGATCTGTGTTCTTAACAAATTTTTCATAAATAAAGAACTATAAGGTACAACTATACAAATAAAAAATGTTTTTTTTTTTTTGTAGGGTAGAGAGCGAACAAATATTGTTGACCCTTTGCGCAAAAAATGTAAATACGGCTCTGTTAATACTTAAATACTTAATAAAAACTTGAAAAACATCGTCCATGTTGACACAGGAAAAGTACAAAATATTTTCAAGAGTTCATGAATATTAGGATAAAACTCTTTATCACAAACATCTAAAGCATGTAACCCAGAGGTGAATACAATTTTTCATTCACTAAAATTAAACCCACACCCTATGATAAATCTAAAGTCTTCATGGTAATTTTGTTTTATTTACCGACTATTTATCGGGTTTATTATAAACACTCATGCATGAAAAATAATTCGCAGAAAATTAAAAAATGCCGTACACCATATATAGAGGTATATGTTTTTGTTGTCTAATAGTCACATATATGCCGCTAACAACTATACTCCGGCCCACGAGAGAGTATTACCGTCGCCCACTCGCCCGACGAAAACTCGTCCGATTCCGCGCATTTCCCCACTACTCGGCATGCCGACAACTGTTCGGTACCGGTCGGCAGCTCTCAACTCTATAAGGTGTATAGCGGTCGCAGAAATAGTGGGGGGAAATGGGGCCTCGGAACGGTCTCCGCCGTCAGTCTGCATGCGCAAAACGGTAATACTCTCTCGTGGGCCGGAGTATAGTGGCGTATAGTATATCAGAGCGGTAAAACTACCACGGCTAGAACATTTAGAAAACAGACATAGGTACTTAAAAGTAATATCTTAATGAGAAATACAGAAAATAAGAAAACTTAATTTTACAAAAAAAAAGGTCAAGGGGGATCTATCCCCCCCCCCGTAAATACGCCACTGGGCTACAGCGCTGGATTGAGACTTTTCAGCCCAACGATATTTTAAATTTCTATCGGCCCTCAACAAAGAATCGGCTCATTCGATCAAAAATGTTGTATCTTATTTCTTATTTAATTTACACTACAAACAAAAAAGTCGAAAGGATACATTGTTATTTTAAATATTTAACTAGGTAGGTGTGGTGCATTGATAATTGTTTCTCATATTAACAAAATTATACATTACAGTGTAGGTAGTAGGTAGGTAGGTATGTAGGTAACCTACGTATTATGCCGGGTTGCATTTAAACATGTATCAATTTAATTATTCAATACAATTTTATTGACCAATCAATGTATCAACTGAATCAACATATTATTATCGACCATAACATGTTTAAAGAACCATATTAGCATTCAGCTCAATAGGCAATATTGTTAAATATTTAGTGCTATTGTTCATGCAACCCGAGTCCCGGCGGTATATAATTATACAGTTACCTATAGTAAACTACAGCAGAGACAATAATTTTATTTTTCACTTAGGTATATATTTTATACTATACGCAGAGGCATAATAAATCTACCAAATAGAAGTATTAAAAAATAAAAAATATAGGTTTAGAGCTAGATGTGTGCAATTTTCACCTATTTCATCTTACACCCATGACTTTATAGTATAACCATTAAAGAAAAAATGTCATAACGTTATAACATTATAAGTTAAAAATTTGCTTTGCTTTCACTTCTTTTAAATATAAATTTATATGTACCTATTTATCTAGGTATGTAGTTTGTTATTTTATAAATTGTCCATAAAATGTTTTAATACTAAAGTAATACACATTACACAATACATTAGGTAATACCTATTATTAAAGATTAAAATTAGTTGAAATTGTATAATATAAAAGACTTCAGAATTCAGATATCCTAACAAAATTTCTACCATATGGAGTGCTTCAATTTCTACATATTATAGTATCTTATCTTTTAGCAAATTGGACCAAGATGGTACTTTAAAGAGGCCATTTTTCGATTTTCTCAATAGTTTTTTAACGCCATGGGAAAAACTATCAAAATACCTTGTTGCTGTTATTTTTTCTTATGCTTTGTTGATCACCATTGAAACGAATACAATTTTAAACCGCTAAAAACCTGAACATTTATGAATTTATATTTATTCAATTAATCAATTTACTATTGAACATAAACATAATTTATGAATCTAATTTCAAATTATATAATATTACTAGCCGACCCGTCACAGCTTCGCCCATGATTGGTTGTTTATTTTGCCTTCGGACGATGATATGTATAATTTTTTATTAAAATTTTATCGTTTAATGAAAACGTATTCAAATGTTTCTAGCGGTATTAATGGTAAATATATTTTTATATCAGAACCCGTTCATTTAATTACCCGTAAAAAATCGCAAATCTTAAAAATGTATGATTGTTCAACTACTTTTGGGTGTAACTTGCAGCAGCCTGCAGGCCGCAGTAAGTGCAACTCAGCCACCCTGGTAGGCAATCCGACTACTTAGGCAACTTTTTCACCAATCACCTTGGTAAGAAATGTTCAATAATTCTATTTGATGCAAGCTTGTACCTGATCTTCCTGATATTCGGAACTATTAATAATTAAAAATAAAATTTTCAATGTGAACCCCAATGTCCCTGTTTGAGCACCTCTTTAAAATGCGAATTTTACCAAATCCTTTCTTATTGCACGGTGAAAGTATTAGAAGAACCACTATTCTAAATTTCAAGTTCGTACATTGAGTAGTTTTTGAGATACGGCGATCAGTGAGTCAGTGGTATTTGGATTTTAGGTATATAATATATAGATTCTCT